CCCCTGGTGCCAGAGGCTGGCTGTTGAGGGTGGGGGCCCCCTGGCGACAGAGGATGGCCATTGAGGGTGGGGGCCCCCTCAAGCCAGAGGATGGCTGTTGGGGGCTGGGGGTATCCCTGGAGCCAGGGGCCGGCTATTGGGAGTTGGGGGTCCACTGGTGCCAGAGACTAGCTGTTGAGGCGGAGGGTGTCTCTGGAGCCAGAGGCCATCTGTTGTGGGGTGGGGGTCCCCTGGCGACAGAGGATGGCTGTTGAGGGTGAGGGTCCCTTGAGCCAGTGGCCGGCTCTTGGGAGGTGGGAGAGCCCCTGGAGCCAGAAGCCAGCTGTTAGGGGATGGGGGGTCCCCCTGAGCCCATTGTTCTTTCCCCAACCCTGTGACATCCTTGCTGTTGGAACCTGCCACAGCCTCCAGGAGGCCCTGGCCCCCCAGCCACTGTGCTGCTGCTATGCAGGCCCCACGAGTCCCCCCCATCTTCTGCCTGGCTGCCATCTCTCCCTGAGGTTGGGCCAGCCACTGGGGACGTCCTCCTGGCTGCGGTGGCCACCTTCCCTCTGCAGAGACCCAGGAGCAGGCAAGGCCTAGTGGCCGTCTGCTGGGCCTGGCTGAGATGAGCAGGGTCTCTGCCTGGACAGCTGCCGCTCCAGGGACTCAGGGCTTGGCAGGAGCGACTCCTCCCGGCCTGGCCGCTCGCGGGTCGGAGCTCAGCCCTGCATGCTGGGCAGAGGCTGTGCCAGGCGGTCCTGGACTGGGGCATCTGGACACCACAGTGAACCCCAACTCGTCCATCAATGGAAGCAGCAAGGAATCCAGCTCCCGAGCATGTGCTGGCCACGGGAGTCCCAGCCACGAGCCACACCTCTCTCACACAATGGTGCTAAACCGTGTTGGCCGCGAGGCTGCACACTCCTGTGCTTTAACCATCTGCGTCTGGCAGAACAAGAACAAGCAGCAGCCCTGAGCCCGGGGCCCGGGGCCGGTTCTCAGTGGACTCGAGCGACTTCTCCTGTGTTTCTCCTCCATGTTCCTTTGGGGTAGCGTGAAATGTGAAATGTAACTTGTGCACTTTTTCCACTAGCTGGTACCTGTAGGTGTGGGAGCAGCCAGGCGGTGGTGCTGGCTCCCGGGCCC